TGAAAAAAGGTGTGGATGTGGCACTTGAGGGGTCAGTGGTGGCCTTGGCCATGCTGGGGATAAGCTGGAATCAGTCTCAGAGGCTTTTCCAGCCCGAACAATTCTGTGACTCCAAGAAATCTGATTTTGGAGCACGCTGAGTTTAAATTATGCTTATCAGCACTGGCATCTCAATGCTAATGAAATCTTCTTTTCTTCATTGCTATTCAACAGAAAATCACAAAAACACCAACAGCTTCAATGCAAATTTCTCAATGAAAGTTTAGGGCAGGTAAAGAAAGGGAAAAGACCACACTGAGACTCACACAGGAACCTCCCAGTGAATTTAACTTGGAAACAGCTCCTGCTTGTGCCTACCTCTGGAAAGGCTGGTAATTATGATGGAGATATTGATGATAAATGGATTGAAGTAAATTAATTCCACCCAAGCCAGGCAGCCTTCAGTGAGCAACGCTGGCACCCACTGCTTCAAGATGGATAAGGTGGGATTTAAACTCTCCATGCCCTGCTGGGAGCTGCAGGGATTGTTCAAACCACCACAGTGCACAGCATTCTCTGAACTATTCTATTTTTCCACCTCCCAGGTGGCCTGGAATAATTTTTCCAATAAACAAGGAAAGGAAGTTTTTCCATGCATGCCTGCTGAACTTACCTGCTGTGCCCTGATCACAGCTCTCCCCTCAGCACCCCCAGGGATTTTTGCTGTCCTGAGCCCCTCCTGGGCTGCCTCAGGCTCCCCACACTGTAGGAGGGAGGGGGGGACCTTTGTAGGACCAGACCTGCAATAACAGCACCAAGGAGAAACTTTTCCTTCCACAAGTGCTCCTCTCCTTGAGCTCCTGGCACTCCTGACACCTGCACCAGATTAGGGCAGGGCCAGCCAGCAGATTATTTGGAAGATGGATGGATCAGATCAGTTTTGACTCCTTGGAAAACAGAATAAAGTCTGCCCCCATGCCCAGCAGGGTCACAGCCACCTTCCAGCTCAGGATTTGCCATCCAGGCAAGCTCCTCTCTGCCTCCACAGGCACTCTCTCAATTTTGACTGCTGGTGCCTATTTTAGCAAGGCCTGGCCTTGTGTGGGCTCACAGGGGCATCTTCCCAGGAGCTCTGAGGTAAAACATTCTGAGGGGAGCCAGCGGTCTCCACTCCCCACTGGGGCCCAGCTGGCACCTCCAGGCAGCTTTGATGGGTCCCAGACCCTCCTGCAGAGCTCAGATCAAACCCATTCCAGTACAGGAACACAAAATACAGAATCATTGGATCACAGAATATCCTTTGTTGGGAGGACCCCCAGAGATCACCCAGTCAAACTCCTGGCTCTGCACAATCCCACCCCTGGAGCACTGTCCAGCTGGGCTGGGACCATTCCCTGGGGACCCCACAAATCAGGTGTGATTCCATGTCCTAACTCTGGACAAAGAAGTGAGAGCAGCTCTCTCTTCTGTGCACAGCCAGCACTGGGTGCTGTGCTCTGACCCATCTCCTTTGCTCCCACAGCTCCTGAGAGGACACTCAGAGCACTGATTGCTTAATTATCCTGATTGTGAGCACACCCCAGCACCCTGGGCTCTCTGTTCATCTCCTGTAGGGGGATACAGTATGGGTAAATGAAGGTGGTATAGAAGGTAATCCTATCCCCCAATAAGAGCAGTGGTATAAAAGAGTGGATTGGTGGGATCAGGAGTTGGAGAAGTCAGATGGCAACTGCAAGGACCAGGAAAGGTCAGTGCTTAGAGGAGATGCCTATGAGAAACATTGAAGAGGTACAAAAACTCTGGTGGCATGGAATCCTTGCACCATAATGATAATGGAACTCTTGATGTATAAGACAACAAATGGTGACCCCGACGTGATTTGGGAGAGGGAGGATTTAAATACTAAACTAGATTGCCCTGTGGATTTGGGATGACCCATGGAATTGGGACTAAACTATATTGCCCAGTGGATTTGGGACTAAACCATATAACCCCGTGGATTCAAGGAAATAGGATTTGACCATATAACCCCATGAATTCAGGGAAACAGGATTTCAGTACTAAACCATTGGCAAAATATTATCAATTACAGCTATTGGTCTTTGTTAAATATGAGCATAAAAGACCTTAAAGATAAGTGCCTTGTAAACTGGGAAAAGCTATAGAACTGAACTAACAATTAGAAATATATATAAATCTGTACTATAATATGCTGTTTGAACACTTGTATAACTCTTAGTTCTAAATGAAATATACAAATATGTCATAATGTTAATTTATTTGAATATGTACTTCTGGAAATACTGCAACTCTGTGGTAAAAAGAAAAAGGGGGAATTGTAGGGGGATACAGTGTGAGTAAATGAAGGTGGTGTAGAATGTAATCTTATCCCCTCAACGTGTTGCAGCTGGACCAATTACTAAAGATTAGGAGCAGGCCTGATCTCAACAGGCCACAGCTGTAGCCAATAAGAACAGTGGTATAAAGGAATGGATTGGTGGGATCAGGAGTCAGATGGTAACTGCAAGGACCAGGAAAGGTCAGTGCTTAGAGGAGCTGCCTGTGAGAAACATCAAGGCGGCACAAAACTCTGGCAGTATGGAATCCTTGCAGTATAATGATGAACTCTTGATGTATAAGAAAACTTAAGACACCAGTACCCCAGTGCCAGGAGCCCAGCAAGGCCACCCAGCTCCAGTAACACTCCAGTACTGATGAGGGATCTCAGCTCAGCTCCCAGGGCTGCTCCAACAGCCCCTCCTGAGCATCCCCTTCCCACCTTCCATCACTCAATGTGGTGCTTGCCCAAGCAAAGCCTTCTACCATCAAACTGAAATATGGGCTGAAACAAAATCCTTCCCTCCTCACCTCTGGCATGGCAAAGAGGAGGAAAGAAGGAACTCACACAGGTCTGTATTGCATTCCCACAGGCATGGGACGCCAGAGAGAACCTCTGCACCATGAACAGCATCTCTGGGCCCTCTGCCCAAAGAGCTTTGCTAAACATGACATAATAATAATAAGTTTAGGACAGGTGAAGAAAGGGAAAGGACTACACTGAGACTCACACAGGAACCTCCCAGTGAATCTTGAATTTGACTTGGAACCACAACCCTAAGACAGACTGGCTTTCCTACAAGTGAAAGATGCACTGGTCATGGAGGAGCCAAAAATTCACCTTCTTCATGGGGGATGGAGGTGATCCTCCCTCCAAACCTGCCCAGCCAAAGCCTGTTTGGCACAGACAAGGCTGCTTTGCCTTTGATCAGCTTGGCTCCTGATGGATGGCAGTGAGGGGAAGGTGGGAATCTCTCCAGGGAGAAGCCACACTCTTGTCATCAATTTTGAAACAGGGATCTTTACCTTCAGTGTCAGGTTGTCCACCAGGGCAATCATGGAGTTCTTGAACAGAGTAGCTGCTGTCAGAGGTCTCTTGGTGACCTCAGTGATGCTCAGTTTCCCCTCAGGCCACATCATCTTCAACACAGGGTTGGAGCTGCAAGAGAATCTCTTTAATTCCACTGCCCTGACAATCCAAAAGCTGCTTTTACCCAGACCCACTGCTGCCTCCAGCTCAAGGGCATCACCCAAGCCAGGGTGAGACTCCTGGGCACAACATTTCATGCTCTTAAGAGCAAGTTCAAGCTTTCAAATGAACATTCTGGAAAAACAAGCAGCACATTCTCCCTTCAGATCAGGATGTGCAGGATTAGGACAGTGAAAATCCCACAGAGTGATCCATCAAAGGCAGGGGCTGCCTCACAGGCACAACAGGAAGGATTTAATCCACACAAAGGAGAGGGAGACCCACAGCACCCTCCCTTAGAACCTGTCACCTGTGTTCAAGCTGCATTTCTGCACCTCTCTCTATATATGAAGTAATTTATACACTTTAGCCTGCATTTCTGAAGAGTTCAGGGTGAGGTAAACTGGCCCTGATGGATGGCAAGAGTTCAGGAACAAACAGAAACTGAGCACATTTACAGCAATCTAGTGGCCAATCTGTCCCAGGCTTTAATGTGCTGCAAGTGGTGTTTGGGAACAGGATTTTCCAGAGACTTCACAGAAAACAGGCTAAATTTGATAAAACCACACAGCAAATATTTTGCAAGGTTTCTGGTCAATGGGAAGTGTTGAAAACAGGAACAGTGGGACTGCTCAGGGGAGCACAGCCAGTCAGCCCCAAGGGCTGCAGACCAATTCAACATCTGTACAGGTAAACAGAGCCCACCACTGCAGGGTGTTTGTGCCCACTGTCCTCTGGGCAGAGCCCCTGGAAGCTGCAGATTACAAAATGAGGACTTGTTTAATGCCAGATGAAGGAAAACAGCTCCATGGGGACTTCCACCCACATTCTGACAGGACTGCAAATCTGCTTCTTAAGGCAACTTCTGCTTGACCTCATGGTTTCACTTCTCACATCACTGCAGACATGAAAGGATTCACATCTATCTCATCATTTCTTTCAAAAAAAGGTGTTTTAGGTGGGGCTGAGGATTTCTGCCGTTGACCAAAGCTCCCCAGCATCCTCAGCACTGATTACAGACAGAGCAGTGATGGTAAATCTGCAATGGGTTAATGACAAATCAGGCAGCACAAGCAAGCTCTGCACTATCTTGATTGCACAATCAGTTGGTTTCAAAAAAAAACCACTTTAAATTCTGTTCAATTAAAGGCTGCATCAGAACAGAAACATGTACAGAATAAGGACTTTAACCTGAAAAATCCAACTAACAGCCTCTGGGTCATGGGAGATGTACAAAGATCAAATCCCAAAGCAATGTGTTTATTCACACCCACTGAAAACCTGAGTCTCTGATAGCATCACTCCACACAAAAAGGATTCTGAGAGATCAGATTAAAATTCACCTCATTAAAATTCCTACCTGTTGTACATGAGGCGTTTGAAGTCTTGAAATAAAGTGTCCTTGTTTTTATCAATGAATCCAGTGACAGAGTAACTAAAAAATAAAGGAAAACCAGAGTTAATTGCAAAGCAGCAAAGTCCTTCTGTGAGCTGTGGAATCAGCATCCCTGCACTCCTACAGACAATGGCCCAAATTCAGGATTTACACTCAGGATTCTGTCTCTTAACTGAGTGTGTGTGTTCGGGTTAAATCCTAGAGAAATTCAGGTTTGTTTTTCAATCTGAGCAGTCTGCCCCTCTCTCAGTGGAGAGTCTGAGTTCCAGATCAGCCTCTGAGCAGTGACTGGGAGCTGCCCTGGAAATCAGCACACACAGAAACACACACATTTGAGATTCTTTCCTTCCACTATTCCCACAGGAACACCACTGAGGAGGTCACTGTTCCAGGGTTCCATCTCTTCTCCAGGTCTCAAGGCAGGCAAAGGTCCAAAGTCTCCCACTCAGTGACTCCATGCAGATGTTCCCTGAGCTCCAGACCCCACCCTGGGAAGCTGCACCCAACCTCCAGACTCTGGGATCAACCCACAACCTGCAAATCCCTGTATGGAGTCGTCCTCAAATCAGGACCTTTTAAAAGACATCCAGTTTCACCCCTGCCATGGCAGCGACACCTTCCACTGTCCCAGGCTGCTCCAAGCCCCGTCCAACCCGGCCTTGGGCCCTGCCAGGGATCCATGGGCTGCCACAGCTGCTCTGGGCACCCTGTGCCAGGGCCTGCCCGCCCTGGGCCTGAACTATCTGTGATTCCTCCCACATTTCAGTTTGCTTTTACCCCATTTGTCAGCACTGGCAGTTCAGAAGGTTCAGCCACTAAGACAGCACCTTGTTATTTTCTCCCCCAAAACCCTCTAAAATCAGGGATGTCTGTCAGGAACTGCTCAGCAAAGATTCCAGAGGATAACCTGCTTGTGCTATAAGGGCTCCAGTCTGATCACACTGGTCGTTCTTGGAAATTAAAGGTAAAATTAATCCCAAGGTAAAAGAAATCATTAATCCTTCCTTCAGTAACTCCCTTTCTTCTGACATGGGAAGTTACACAAATTCTAAACCATTAAATTACTCCAGTGATATTCCACACACCAAATGGTTTCCACCATGTGCATCCTTCACTTCCAGTCACTCTCCCTTCCCACTGCTTCACCTCCTGCACTTGTTCCTGCAGGCTCCAGGCAAGCACTTCCCAACCCTCCTGCCCTGATCCCTCCTGCAGGTTATGTCTCCCCTGGGCTCCCAGCCTGCTCCAACTGATTGGAGAATTTCAAGCCAGAGTTATATAATCACACCAAACAGATGTCTAAACCAGACTTTATTAGCTCAGTGTAGCTTTCTTGCATAAACACTGCTGCCTTTTTTCCCTTTTTCTTCCCCTGGAGCACTGCTCTCCCCTCACCCCCACCCCTCACTCTCCTTTTGTTTCACTCCAAGTACAAATTCCCACTCTGTAGAGCAAGGCACCAGCAGAAGATTTAATTGATAAGCAAGTGCTGCACTCTGTAATTGTGTGTGACAGCTATTCTGGCTTGCACCAGAAGCAGCAGTAAATCAGAATATTGTGCCACTTCAGAGCTGCTGGGAAGACAAAAATAAAATGTGCAGCTTGATTTCAGAAGGGAACTCACATCACATCCCCGGCGTAGTGCTTGATCCGGAAATCTCTGTCAAACTCCAGCGTTTTGTCTGTGGCACAAAGCTGAAACAAATTCACACATTAAAACACCACCCATGGATTGATATTAAAACAACACCCCTGGATTTACAAGCTCTGTGGAAGAGCAACCTGCCTTCAAAATAGCACTGGGAACTACAGGAATCCCACTTTCTGTGTGCATGTGCAGATGTGAAAGGCACTGCTGGGGAAATGTTTTCATGGATGCACTGTGAGAACATGTGCTTGTACAAATGGAGCTGCAAGAGCCTATAATTTCATAAAGAAATTGATACTATCCCAGAAACACCATTATGCAAAAAGAACACTCGTGCCTGTAGAGAAACATTGCACCCACGAGTTAATTTGTTACTTTTTAAAGTCTTCCTTTATGTGTTTTTGCCATTGCAGTGGAACTCCTCTGCAGAGAAATGGGCCAAGTGCTGTGACAGCAGCAAAGCTTGTTCAGGGTCATCTGACACCCCTCAAACAGGGAACTTTCTGCAGACCCACAGCTCCAGGCTCAGATTGCCTTGCCATCCCATCCATCCCATCCCATCCCATCCCATCCCAT